GGAGCAGCTTGGTCACAACATCTCTCTGCCACAGTGTCTGCGGGGACGCAAGGCCACCCTGGAAGAGCTGCAGTGTGTCCATACCGAGCGCCACGTCTTCCTCTACGGCACCAACCCCCTCAACCGCCTGAAACTGGACAATGGGAAGCTGGCAGGTGAGTCCACGTCCACACGTGCCCTCACTTTCTGCCTGTCCCTGTCCCCCACACATCCACACCAGGTCTCAGAGCCACCCCCGGGCACCACGCCAAGCAGCTCTTCATAGAATCATAGACTGGTTTGGGTTGGAAGGGACCTTAAAGCTCATCCAGTCCCAACCCCCCTGCCAGCAGCAGGGACACCTTCCACTAGACCAGGTTGCTCAAAGCCTCATCCAACCTGGCTGAGAACACTTCCAGGGAGGAGCAGCCACAGCTTCTCTGGGCAACCTGTTCCAGTGTCTCACCACCCTCACAGTGAAGAACTTCTTCCTAATATCTCATCTAAACCTCCCCTCTTCCAGTTTAAACCCATTTCCCCTTGTTTTGTCATTAATTGCCCTTATGAAAAGTCCTTCCCCAGCCTTCCTGGAGCCCCTTCAGGTACTGGGAGGCCACTAGAAGGTCTCCCCAGAGCCTTCTCTTCTCCAGGCTGAACAGCCCCAACTCTCTCAGCCTGTCCTCACAGCAGAGCTGCTCCAGCCCTCGGATCATCCTGGTGGCCTCCTCTGGACTTGTTCCAGCTGCTCCATGTCTTTCTTGTGATGGGGGCTCCAGAACTGATCCTAATTCTGGCCAGGCAGCCCAGCCAAGCCTCTCTTCCTCGTACCCCCATGCCATGCACCCTGTCCTCCACCAGTCCCCAGTTTCTCAGCTCTGAAGTCCTCGCTGTCCCCTCTCTCTGCAGGGATCCTGTCGCAGCGGATGTTCGTCATGCTGCCCTGTGGAGGGGTGGGGGTAAGTGCTCCATCTCTGCTCGGGACAGTTACAGATGGGGTTGTTGTTCCTTTCATCTGTCCACACCGAGAGCCTCCTCCTGGGCTTGAGTGGAGAGGGAGCTCCCAAAGTCTTTGGGCTGCCAAGGTTGGGTAGCGTCAGGTGGGAGCATTTTGTCTGTGGGCAATATCTCGTTGTATCAGAGCTTCTCCCTGTCCTCAGGATGGTTCTAAGCATCCCATCCTTGAAAGGGGACCCTTTGCACCCGCTTTGTCCAGGGGAAACAGCAGCCAAAAGCCCCTCACAGCCATTTCTAAGAGCCTGGGGTGTTAGAAGGGAGTGAGCGGGTGGGACAGCCGGGAGAAGCCACAAGCCATGGTCTGCAGTGAGGGACAGGAGCAGTATCGTGGGGACAGCAGCTCGCCACTTCTCTCCAGACACTTCTGTGGCCTCTCCTTTCACAGCTTGCTGCCCTGGTTTCTCTCCATTCATTGCGTTCTCCTCTCTTCCTCTCCCCCCTGTCTCTGTCCTTCTCTCTCTCTTTCAGGAAGGGTCTCACTCCATGCCTTCCTGCTGCCTCTTCTGGTTCTTCTCCTCTCCTTGCCCCTGCTGCTGGGCACCAGCTCTTCTCAGCCCCGTTTGCATCTACTTTCCCTGCTCTGCCTCCCCCTCCCTGCCCTCTTCTCGCCCGTATCCCGAAGGCAGGGGGGGCTGGAGCTGCCCCTCTCCGTGGGCAGAGGGGAGCCTTTGAGTTGCACACATGGAGTTGATCAGAAGAGACTTGAGTTTTCCGGCTCTGGCTCGGCCCTTGACGTGATCCTGATCAAACCAAGATGTTTGGTTAAACAATAAAATAAGATAAAGAAGGTAACAAGCGTTTTCTCAGTCACTCCTTCCAGCCCCCGGGTGCAGGGTGAGGTGCTCTGTGTGGAGCTCGGCTGGGGGCTGGGGCTGACGGCAGGCAGAGGAGCTGGAGAGCTTGCCCCATTGTGTGTGAGGTGGTCCAGCTCCACAGTGCCTGGCCCTTCAGCCTGATGGGACTTCAACCCCTGGCCCCTGAGCAGGGCAGCTGGCAGAGAACGTGGGTCCTGTGACCAAGGTCTCCTCCACTGGTGCCTTCTCCCCGTCTGATCGATCTCCTTGCTTCCAGGTGGACAGTGATACCATCTGGAACGAGCTGCATTCCTCCAACGCAGCTCGCTGGGCTGCAGGCAGTGTCACTGAGCTGGCCTTCAAGGTGGCTACCAGGGAGCTGAAGGTAAGGTGGCTTCATGTGGAGGTCCCAGAGCTGTGCATCACCCTATGGCTGGGCAAGAGCGGGGCTGGGAAGGTCTCACCAGCCGGCACTGGGTGCTCTCAGCCCTGTGCTGATTTAGTCGCTGTCCCAGTGTGTCAGGAACCACCAGCCTGGAGGTGGAGGGGGGTGTGTGACACTGGGGACAGCAGCTCTGATCATTTGCCTTTGTTTTGTCCCCAGAACGGCTTTGCTGTGGTGCGGCCACCTGGACATCACGCAGATCCTTCCACTGCCATGTAAGGACCCAAGGAAGGGTTGTAGGTTGCCCAAGGAAGTTGTGGCTGCTCCTCCCTGGAGGTGTTCAAGGCCAGGTTGGATGAGGCTTTGAGCAACCTGGTCTAGTGGAAGGTGTCCCTGCTGCTGGCAGGGG